TACTCACTGCCCTAACAGAAGAGAATGAACACCAAATTTCGGACATTACTCCGCTGTCTAGTTCGAAAAGCTAACAAGGAGGACTTCACGATATTAAGGGCTGATACCATGGAATTCTGTAACAGAGCATTACACTCCAAGCGCACTGTGTAGCCTCTTCAGGTATCAAGTACCTACTACTAATAAACTAAGGACCGGGTCAGAACGTTAGTGAATAAGGTGAAGCGGGTAGACCAAGTGTACACATCATTTTCGACCGAGAGGAACCTGCTCTTTACTTTAAGTTATCTTGGTCGACGATAACAACGAAAGAAGACTAAGATGCACTTGATGTACGAAGAGGAAACGCCTCGTCGTTGAGATCTGCACTACATGGTTCGGCGAGGGACAAGAGGTCTTTTGATGCAGTGCAGGATACCACTCTATTCGCTAGCAACTAGCCTTTTCATTGTTCTGGCCTCCTGGACCTTCTTGTCAGCATTCATTCCAGATTTGCAAATACGAATAAACTCCTTGTGTCCATTCTGTTCGGCACCTATGACCGCGTAAAGCGGAGGTTGCAAGATAGTAACAATATAGATTGTGATATCAGCTTCAATCCATGTGCTCCTCAACCAACTTTCCCCGCGACATCCCGACAGCGCACATTCTCTCACCTCGTCAATAGCTTATTCAACCTCCTCAAGCAACAGGCCCACGACCCATGGCTCGGATCCGACACCAGCAATCGACGGCTCTCGACAAACTGCCTCATGTGGTGATTGCGCCACCTAACGGAGATATCCTTCGGATCCGAAGCCAGAGCTCGGACAAACTACGCAGAAGGTGACCGCCCTTGATGTCTGCTCAAAGCTACGTTGCACGGCTTTCAAATTACTGGAGGAGGAAGAGGGAATTGTGGCACCGGTGTGGAATGGGGGTGTCGCATGTTGTGTTGTATTGGTAGGTTAAGATCGGTCATGATGTCTCCTTGTGAAAATTAGACGATTCCGGGTCGAGATCTAGAAAGTCCTTTCGTAGCAATATTAAATATTGTTAAACGTGACGATAAAGGACGGAGACAGCGGAAGGGCTGTTATTCCATGGATTTGATTCGTGTAGAAGCTATGCTACTCTGCGTCTATTCAAGCCCGCTCTGACCTCAAAATCTGAGTTGTGGAAGCTATACAAAGCTCTAGAAACGGTAAAGTTAAAAAACTTATAGTACGAAGGCTGAATTTGTCACACCTTGATACTCGCTAGGCACTGCGCATGCTACAACGAGGACGACGGTGACTGTGTTAATCTGCTAGTAAATTCACATTGATTCACCCTTATCTTGCTACTCTGTAAGTTTAAGTATAAAAGGTGGTAATAACAAACGGGGCTGGTACGCTCGAAGCAGTGATGTGGTAAGGGATGGCGGGTGTGCCCAGGTGGTCTCGCAAGTCTCTTACTTCGGCTTTGACGGCCAGGCATAAGGCTTGATTGTCCGTAAATGAGGGTTTCTTTCTTTTCCCTTTTCTTCACGATACGAGCAATGTTGAGGTTTCGAAGAACGAGGCTGGTGTTGTGCGCATTGTGCGGAAGTAACGGGGGGGTTGGTGCACACTACCTTTTGCGCATCGCGAGTACGATGTCAGTAGATTGTTTTTTGAACACTCCAAGCTCTAAAGAGAGTAACAGCACGCGATGTCAAGTGCGACCCGCATTAGCACAATGCGGGGTGCTGGCATGTTCCTGGCTGTTGATAGGTAGGCATCGGCGACCAGGCTGCGACGGGGCGGCTCGAGCAGTGCTCAGCCAAGGAAGGAAATCAAGAGGTTGGGATCTAGGCGATGAGTTGGCATTCGCGGTGTGGTTTGAAGTTGAAACTAATTGAGTAGTTTTGTGAGACTTCGCGACTACGATGTCGAAATTGATGGGGGACTGCCTGCCAGGGTGCAGGAAAAGCACCCCATGAGTGCGCAGAGACCGGCGCAGCGGTGAGGCTGGAGTATCACAAGTTCTTGCAAAAGAAAAAAGCACCATAGTTGCCCTGCGTCGAGCACATCGTTTCGTGATTGGAGCGCATTCCGTCCTCGTCTGGATGCGGACGGGCAATCTGAAGGAGATGACCAGCGCAGGATCGCGCAAAACCCCAAATCTCCAGTGACTGGCTGAGAAGCCATCGAAGACAAGAAATAGCCCGTCCCAAAGAACAGACAGAACTACTGTTCACCAATCTATTGCCTACCTGGGCCAGAACACGCCTGGCAGCCCGCATCTCCACAAGTCAAACGTCACACTTACCCAATCCCCGTACCCCTACGCATGCCATCCCTCTAAATCACGCACACCCAGCCCCCCCTTTCCCAACACAGCGCGTATCGCACACATGCATCATCCAAAAGCGAAATGACATGCAACGCCAATGCCGTCCCAAAACCTGCATTGGCAGTGGATGGATGAAAATGCGCATTAAGTTGTTCTCGATCTCGTCGATGCCTGGCTAGCGGGTAAAACTAAGCGGGGATGCAAATGTGCGACGGGGCGGGAGAAAACAAGAACAGGGGTACGGGTCAAGGAAGCGTGCCGCCTGGCGCAGCAGACGTGCATCATACCCGTCTCTTTTTGGACGACTGGTCGCGACGGAAAAAGAAGCTACGTCATACGGGGCTGGGACAAGGCCACCTCGCGCAGGTTTGGGAATGGGTCTTAAAGTTGGCACTGCCACATCTTCTTTGTCCTGCATTACTTCTACCCTTTTGCCATCTACGCTGCATCTAATACCATCTACCACTTTACTAATTCCTACGGTATTTCGACGTTGGGACGTTGAAACTTTATTCGCTTGAGGCTCTCGCGCATCGTCACCCGACGGGAACACGGATAATCGATCGTCAACGGTCGCTGATCATCTCATCACATCACCGAGATAGAACCGCAGAAGTCATGTCTGGCGTACAGGAAAAACAGCTCCATGAGTACGTTATTTCGGCATCTAATACGCCGCGACGCGCATCGTCGCGTTCGCGATGAGATGGGATTGCGCGTCTGCATTACCAAGCCTTGCGTAACGAACTAACACACCAACCACAGGCTCCTCTCCCGCTCCATGGTCGACATCTACGTCGGCTCCGAGAACACGCACTGGATCCTGCACGAGAAACTGCTGTGCTACCACTCGCCCTTCTTCCGCAAGATCTTCTACTCCAAAGCCAACTCAGCGTCGCGCACGCAATCCTTCGGGCTCCCGGACGAAGAAGATGCGCCCTTCAAGACCTTCGTCGGCTGGCTCTACAGCTCCTCCCTGCCCGTCCCGCGCGAGGAAGCCGACCTAGGCGTCTGCTTCGACCTGTACCTGATGGCCGAGAAGTTCGAGATACCCGGCCTCGTCGCCGACGTCCTGCAGGTCGTCCGCGAATGGTACAAGTACAGCGACAGCTACCCCGGTCTGCGTCGCGTGCAGTACATCTACGCAAACACCGAGGAGGGCAGTCCCATGCGCCACATGCTCGTCCACGCTGTCGCGCGCATGATGGTTATCGAGAAGGGTATCCCTGCGCACTGGGACAAGGCACTGCGTAAGAACGGACAGCTTGCCGTCGACATCATCAAGGCGATCCAGGACTGGCGTCTTGAAGAGGAGGTTGTGCCTGATGCGCGCGAGGAGCCGGCTGAGGCTGAGGACCTTGTCGATGTGGAGCAGGAGACTGCGAAGTTGGATGAGGAGGCTGAGCAGGAGATCGATGATGATGTCAGGGCTGAGCGCGCGGAGGAGGCAGATGACTCTGAGGATACCGTCGTCGAGAGCCCGACTAATGAGAGCAAACGCCCGCAGCCTAAGTCGAAGCAGAGTGGCAAGGACGTTGGACAGGACTTGAAGAGCAAGGATAATGGTCTTGTCAAGGACTTTAAGAAGTTCAGCCTCAAGGAGATGCCGAATGAGATGACCAATGCCGACTACGGTACTCTTCGCGCGTAGGCTGGGCCGTCTTGTCTTTCGCCACTTACCTTCACATTTGGATTCAATTTGCATGATTTCTGCTCTGTAGGGGGGGAATATATATCCGGCGTTTGGGATCTGGGGTTTTCGGGACATTTCCATCTTTCTCTTCTTTCTTGGTAACTTTCACTTCGAAAAAGAGAGAATAATGTCTTAGTAGCCTTTAGGGATTAGGGTTTTCTGTAGTTGAAAGTTTGCAATTGTAACATCATTACCTTCATCATCTTCGAATGCCTATCCACTGTACACATAAGTCCACTGTTGACACCAGAAATTGATATTAAACTAAATCTACGGTGAAGTTTACACATAGAAAATATAACGGGAACTATACATCCCTCATCCCATAATAGTCTCGCCAGATGGTCTTCTAACAAATAACGCTCTCGGCGCATTCCCGTTGGAACATGTAGTTACCGCATTCACACAAATACCACCACCACCTCTGCAGCACGTATTTACAACACACAGCTGATTGGTCGCACAGTCTTCATTGACCTTGCACTGGGGACTGTTGCAGGAAGTAGATCCCGGCACACACAGACCGCCACCTCCAGCGACGGAACCGCAGATGCATCCCGAACCGCAGTAGACATACTTGGTGCAGGAAGAGGGGGCACAATTTGGGTTCGTGCACAGCCCACGAGCGCAACCGCCACTTGCGCAGACATTACCACACGCGCCGCAGTTGTTAGGATCGGTTTGGAAGTCTGGTCCTGCTGTAGTGGTGGCCGTTGCAACAACCGTCATAGTCGGGGTCAAAGTTTCCGTCGCAGCAATCTCCTGTGTCGCTGTCGTGGTCACAGTGATGACAGTTTCGGTGAAGGCGGTAGAAGTCGAGATGCTACTTTCGGTGGCGGTGCTGCTGACGACTACAGTAACGGTATGGGTTGCGAGAGAGAGGCATTCGCAGGCTTTAGTGACTTGCGCGCATTCGTATTGCTGAAGGCTTTCTGGGGCGGTTGGGCAGAGTGTTGGGGGTGGGAGGATGGGTGTGGGTGTAGATGATGGTTCGATGGAGCTGGAAGGTACGATGGCAGAGGACTCTGGTGTGCTGGAAGGTGCGATGGAAGAAGACTCTGTGGTGCTGGAAGGTGCCGTGGAAGAAGCCTCGACAGAGCTGAGGGTAATTGTAGAAGATGTCTCCATAGCGATTGAAGTCGCTGCGACCGATGACTCCACGATGCTTGAGAGAGTTGAGTAAGCCGGCTCTATCGCGCTCGAGTACGTGTACGACGCCTGCAATGCAGTTGAGTAGGCCAAATGCGATGCTTGCACTGTTCTCAGCGTTTGCGACGATAGTGCCTCTACCGCACTGGAGGGCTTCACGACCGGCAAGCTCGCTGTGCTCGAGCATTTCGTCGATGTAGATGAAGGAGTCGCAGTAGTTGAAGGCTTCTTGCTTTTAGTGCATGATGTGCTGGTGGAACTGAGCGTCGGCACATAATCGCGTTTGACGGGTGCTTCGGCTGTCACAGTTACCATCGTTGCTGTCGCTGGGCATAGCTGTACTTCGGTAGTCCTAGGCATGTTAGGGTGTGTAGATGCGGCATCCACGTGAGGTGACTTACGTGGTGATGGTTACTAAGACTGCATCGGCTGTCAAGGTGGTAGTGCCAGTGACTGTAGTCTCGTCGGTGTTTGTGAAAGTTTCCGTGAGTGCAGCTGTCTCAAGGGTGTCTGTAGTTGAAATGACAGTTGATGTGCTTATTGCGCTAGAAGTGACGGTGACGGTCGGGATGGCCAGGAGCGACGAACAGAATTCCGCAGCTGTCGGCACCGCTCGCAGCTCATCGACAAGAGGCGAAATGAGTTGACACCCCGAATCTTTGACGTCAGTGAGTCCGGGAATCTCTTCTTGAGCTGAGCTGGCAATTGCCAAAGAGAGAAGGAGGGAGGTGATGGATGTGCGCATCTTGATGAAGTTTTCCGATTCTGGGCCGACTGTGGACGTTTGTTCCTGCCACTGGAGAAGAAGATGACTTGAGTGAATTTTAAACTAGAAGACCGCGACAGCATATATACAACTCCAAGAGGTTTACCCACAGAGCCATCTTCGTGGCGCTCGAGATGGCTGAGCTGAAGCAGGGCCAGACGAGGTCATTCGGGCATTCCGACGGCGACTTTGCTTCCATTGCTGCCACTTGCAAGTCTCCATTGACCACAGAAGCGAAATGGCTTTCGATCTAAACCCGCGAAAGTGTAAGCTCCCTACTGGATTGCCAAGTTGTGGATAGAAACTTGACTCGAATAGGTCTATTCGCAATGGAAACGCTGCAATGCTTGATCAGATAACCCAAAAAACTCTAGCACATCTACAAAAGACACGCAGGGACTTCGTGGCGTATCGAATGGACAATGCGTCACGATGGAATGGGTTGGTGTGAGGCTTGAGGTGTACCTGACTAGTGCAGATCTGGGGAAAGCTTCATCTAGGCCGCCCTAGATCTCCATCCCCTGTCTGTGCTTGACTGCGGACAACGCGATGGTTGACGCCGCATCTTACGATAATCGGATCGTGCACTCATCAATTACTCGTGACATGATGGAAAGTCACTGTCCAAGAGAATGAATATAAAGAAGACGATAGCAGAGTTGTCAGATCGTTGAAGAAGGGGTATCTTTGATTGCAGGCGACGAAGGTTGAAAGTATTCGAAAATTGCCCGTACAGGCTATTGAGCAGTACGGCGCTCGTCGGGCATGTTCTTCCGTTCTTTCGCCGTGACCTTCTTGCGACGGCGTTCGATGACCTTTTCGCGCTGCTTCGATTTCATGTTCTGGAAGCGGTCGACCAATGCAATCTTCTTTTGCTCGGCTGGAACATAATGTCAGTACATGCATGTTGAGACGAGGGAACTGAGTGGACCTACACTTCTTCAAGAAGAAAGGCTGCTTGCCCTCCTTGACAAGCTCCTTCTCCCTCTTCTTGTGCTCCCGTGTCACCTCCTGTAGCTTGTCCTTGTTCTCGCGGGCCTTTTGTTGCGACTCCATAGAGAGTAGCTTCTTCTTCAGCTGCTCCTGCTCGACCGGGTTCTTCGTCTTCTTTATAGTCTGGCGCAGTTCGGAAATCTCAGACTTTCGGTAGTCGTTGAGGAAATCGTAACGCTTTTTGACCACAAACTCATCCGGCTGGGGTCCTGAGGCATTGTCGAACCGGGGGTCACGGAAGACTGGCTTCTTCACATCGACTACATTCCGCTTACGTGACACCGCACGCTTGCTCGACTGGACAGCGGGTGCGTGTTTGCTCGAGCGCGCTTTTGGAGCTGCGTCGGAGTCGGAGTCTCCATCCTCGTCGGCTTCCTGAGTGTCTCGTTTGCTCTCACTTTTGCTCTTGCTCTTCTTGTCCGTCTTGGCTTTCTTGCTGGGCTGTGCACCGTTCGCAAGCTTTTCAGCCTTGATCTGCCGTAACCGCTCCCTCAACGCTTCCAGCTTGTCCTCTTGCGATTTAGATGTGTCGTCGCCTCGTTTTCGCTTTCGGTCTGCGGGTTGTTGTTTTGAAATGGCGTCTTGTGCTTTGGCTAGTGCTCCAAAAGAGACTTTGCTCATTTGCGCTTTTACTTGGTCATCGTCGGAGGCGTCTGACTTGGTGATGTTAGCGGCATGCGCTGGCAGAGTAGAAGTCTTGGAGGCTTACCATATCCTCGTCTCCTGATTCTCTATCCTCCTCGCCATCTGAACTAATCACGTTACCGCCCTCATCTGCCTCGATTACAGACGCAGAAGAGGATCGGTCGGTGACCTCGTAGTAGCTCTCGGCGTCTGAGCTGTCTTCGGCTGCGCGCAGAGTGCGATCCAACTTGCTTGCGAGCACCATCGTAAAGCCTAGATTTGAGGATGTCGCCGTGAAAGCGCTTGTTGAGGGTGTATTGGTATCGGGTTCCTGTCGCGTTCTTCTTCGCCGCGGTCTACCAACATTTTTGTGGACCCCACCTGCCGGGGGTTTGATTCGCCGACAGGGCCGACAGACAGGCAACTGCGCCCAAATTTCGAGTGCGCCTTCCACCGTTGGGCTTCATGCTGCGTGCTCTCCGTCTTCACCTCACCAGGCTTTTCACCGCTCACCTCTCCCGTCCCGCCGAGCGTCTGTCGCTATCGCACGTGCTCCATGGCCGCAGTCGCATCAGCTCGGTACAGCATCCCCCACTGCGCTCCAGTCGCAACTTCCTCCACTAACACCGACAACTTCAAGACCAAGACAGGTCGAGACAGCACTCCTCACGGGCGCCCGCTCTTTGCCTCCGCAAGCGCCAGCATGAACGAGTCATGGAATCCGAATGCGATGCCCTTCCGCCCGGGCGGCTTTGACCGTCGCGAGCAGAGCTTTGGCGCCTTCGAGAACCAGCTTCCACCACCACCCCCTCCTCAGTTCCAGGGACCACCACCAGGACCATACGGGCCGCCGAATGGCTTCTTCAACCAGAACTTTGCGCCGCCTCCGCCGCCGCCCCAGCAGCCCCCGCACATGTTCAGCAACCAGCACCATGACTTCGCAATTCACCAGCAAGCCATGGCATACCACCACTGGATGGTGCAGAACGGCCACCCGCATCACCCACCGCCGCCGCCTCCTTTCCCGCTAGGTCCAGAGGCCTTTGCGGGGCGCCCACCTTCACACATGCCGCCTCATGGCCAGCCGCCGTTTGGTGGGCCGCCATTTGGCCAGCAACCATACGGACATCAGGCGCATCACGGTGGGCCCCCGCCTATGCCTCACCAGCAAAACCAGATGTACCCGAACCGCCCGCCCTACCATATGATGCAACAGCAGGCCAATTTCCCGCATGGAGCGAGGAACGAGGACATACAGTATGCTTTCGATGCCTTGTTGAAGGGTTTAAAGTCAAAGAGCCGCACCGCTAATACTCAGAACAGGGCACCAACTCCTCCAGGCAAGAAGTCAAAGTCTGGGCTTACTGCCAACGGGCAAGCTAAGCAGAAAGAGTATGGTACCCTCCACCGCATTGCTTCGTTTGAAGCCAAGTGCTCTCGAATTAACAAACCTCACAGTACTCCCAAAGCACCCAAGGCACCCAAAGCGGCCGGCGAAAAGAAGGGACGCTATGGTGATGAAAAGATCATGCTCCCTGCGCCGCAGCCTACGCAAGAGTATCTGGACCAGGCCGCTGCGGAGCCTACCACCAACGAGACACCGGGCCAAATGCTGGTAATTTTGGATCTCAACGGCACGGTGCTCTTCCGCCCCAATAAAAACGCCAAGACTATGATCGAGCGCCCATACCTGAAGCCTTTCCTGCGCTACCTCTTTGAGAACTTCAAGGTCATGGTGTGGTCGAGCGCGAGGCCAGACAACGTCAAGTCTCTAGTCAGCCAAGCATTGGACAACGATCTACGGTCGAAGCTCGTTGCTCAATGGGCCCGCGACAGTTTTGGACTCTCGCCGACAAACTATCAGCAGAACGTACAGGTATACAAGAACCTGAAGCTTGTGTGGAGTCGAAGTCAGATCCAGTCTTTCCATCCAGATTATGAGGCCGGCAGTCGCTTCGGCCAGCACAACACAGTGCTGATTGACGACTCTTCGCTCAAGGCGAGTGCGCAGCCGCACAACCTCCTAGAGATCCCCGAGTTCTGCGCTACGCCAGAGCAAATGCAAGGGGATGTGCTCCGAGAGGTAGCAGGTTACTTGGAGGCATTGAGAAGGCAAGCAGATGTATCGCAATTCATCAAGAAGGTTCCGTTCACTGCCGGCGGAGGCTGGACGTTCGACTGGCCTGACGCGGATGCTGGCGGTGGCGAGATGACCAGCAAGGTGTCTGCGGGTAATGCTCCTACTCCGAGTAAGAAGAAGAACAAGAAGAAGCAGGCCAACGCCGCAGCAGCTGCAGCAAGTAGAACTAACACTCCTTTGTCACAGACAATTGATACCCTCGCAGCCGTGTCGCTAGCCGCACCTGCGCAACAGCAACATCAGCAACAGCAGCAGCAGCAAGCGCAGTTGATGCAACAACAACAGCAAATGCAGCCCCAACAGCAGCAGGCGTAAAAGCAATTTCATTTCGACAGATAGAGAGGGAAGGAAGTACACATGTACAACTTTTTACGCGAAGGCGCGGTTTGCCGACTGGGTGCAGGTGATTGCATAGGTAGCTTGGATTTAGCGGATGTCTTCTCTATGTACTAAAAGTATGCGATATGACGGCCGATCATAATGTACAGCTTCGAGCTGGAAACTTCTATACCAACATGACTAAATGTATTCACATTGTCCTCTCGCGTCGGGTAGTGACTTCCCTACCATCTCACACCAGCAAAAAGACAGAACAACTTGCCAAATTCTCGCGACTCTTGCTACTAGACTTTGAATACTCTTTTGGACATAGTTTTCTCGCAAAAAGGCAAAAAGAACAGCTGTGAATGGTCACTACGAGGGTCGAACTCGCGACCTTGGCGTTATTAGCACCACGCTCTAACCAACTGAGCTA